CATATACCTTTCGACCCCATTCAAGTTCTAAACCCTTAATAAAAATCATAAAACCAAGCTCAAGGACTGTTTAATGACACATGTGTGCAAAGTGTGGAAGAAAATGTGTGTTGCCTGGCTGTGTAGAGCTTTTGGGGGACCCAAACCTCAGCGACTCTTAAGGGGATAGTGCTATAGTAACTTAGCATTGCATAACAGATGTAAAGGGTACACCGAATATTACTAATATGTCAAGCTTGACATATTGTACAACAATTGAGCAATAACAATGCCACAACACTGGCGACTCTACATATCCCCCAATTTGTGGGTGAAAAAATTCACAGAACTATGAGGAAACATTAACATGGAAATAAAGCATTGCACTTATAAATAGTGATAAAGTGAACTGCCCTGAGAAGTTCAGGTGCCAAACCTGAACCCTATTGAAATCAATGGTATTTGAATCTGTCAAATTAAAATATCAAGGGGGGGGGGGGGGGATAGTATGGGGGGCTGTCCTGGGAAATATTTAACAATGCAAAATACTTTTTTTATCACTTAAAGTTTATTAATGGTTAACGTGAGAAATAATACAGAAAAAAGAAAAAAGGTAAAACTTACTTAACGCTGGGTTTACAATATATAAATGTTAGAGATATACAAGTTTTACGGGTTACGAAACAACAGTACTGGTCATGCAACCTATTCCAGGTATCAAGATGGTAGTTTCTTTAGTGGTGATGACAGGCTCAGCAGCTTATAGAGATGTGAAATCCCTTTATGTGCTAATGATGTGTGTTCGTAAGAGCGTATAATATCCAGTGACAGACTGGAGTCCAACCATTGAATGATTTACAGGGCACCTGAAAATATTTATAGAGGTCCCAGTTTTTAACATTATATTTGGTGTGCAGGTCTTCAAAGGTATGTAGGTTGTCATTTCTAAAGAAATCCCCAATATTGTGGAATACAGCTGTTATCCAGTTAGGAAGAGATAAGTCTATGCAAACAATTTCCACTTTATGAGAGGGAGGGAAATGTACTAAGGCTTGTTTTGAAACTCCCATGGTTTGTTGAGAGATAGATCTCCATACTTTCATGGTGGTGTTAACTGTGCTTAGAAAGGAATGAGACAGGTGGTATTGTAGCCACATCATGGCCAGAATTTTCTTGGTTGGATTCATCAATGCTGCCTCTTCAATCTGCACCCATGGTGTTTGAGGAGTTTGCAGCCACCAATGTTTTGCTTGGTACAGTAAGATTGCTTTTATAGTAGGTCTTTATGTCTGGTGCTCCCATTCCCACTTTTGCTGTTGGGGTACAAAGAGTGGAGTGTCTCACCCTAGGATTCTTGCCGTCCCATATAAAGGTGTTGATAGTACGCTGAAGATTGGATAATTGCTTTGACAGAAATATAGGTAGAGTTCGAAATAAAAACAAAAGGAAAAAATGCCATCATTAGGGGTGTAACCACCCATCAAAGGAATCTCTCTGACTCACCCTATCTTGGGTTGTGGATTATTAACCGAATAGAGCATATTAAAAAAAAGTTAGCAACTGACTAGAGAAAACTGCAAAAAAAGAGCGGTATTTTAAATCCAATGCAGAGTAAACGATAAACATCAATAATAGATGCAAATAACTTCTTTATTTTGATCATTAAGATCAAAGGGTGGGCATTTGACATGGTGAACACACAGTCAATCAAAAAAGTAAACATTTTTCCAGCCCAGGAGGCGCAGACTTTCCGTAAGTTAATACATAGGTCTTGTAGCTTCTCAGGAGAGAGGGGGTGGCCCTGACGTGTGCCATTAGTGATATCAAAGGGCGATGATATCATCCCTGAGATCCAGACCTCAGCTGATGGGGAGGAATAGAGGGTGAGAACAGCTGTAGATATGTTACCTGACCAAATCTCTGGAGTACTGCTTTGAGGTAGGACTAGTGTACTTTATCGAACGACTTCTCTGCATCCAGAGAGAGGAACAGAGAAGGTGTTCTGTGGAACCTTCTGGTTCCATCAGATGCTTGCCGCTGTGGGAAACATTCCACTTGATTGGAGTGGACTAAAGTGGTGATATATGAAGAGATGAGAGAAACAAGTATTTTTGTGTAATTTTTGAGGTCTGTGTTTAAAAGTGATATTGGTTGGTAGTTAGTTGGATTTTCTGGCTGTTTGCCGGATTTTGGGATGGTAACAATTATTGCTTCAACTGGCTCTTTGGGAATGGCTCCAGTGGTCATAAAGTGATAAAAGGATTTACACATATGTGGAGTTAATATAGTGGAAAACATCTTGAAATATTGATTGGAAATAGCGTCAGGCTCAGGTGCCTTATGGAAAGGGAGTAAGGGGATTGCTATATCAGAGAAAGACTTATTAAGCATTGCTAGTTGATTCAAAGTAGGAGTTGGGAGAGATAGGGAATCTGAAAAATTGTGTAAACTGAGCAGGGTCAGGAGCGAGGTCTGTCGTAGAAGAATGTAGATTGTATAGTTTGGCATAGAACTCACTAAAACAGTCAGCAATGTCTTTAGGGTTGCTGACTCTGTGCCCATGGGATGTTTGCATGAAAGAAATCTTGGATAATGCTGATTTGCACTTTACTTGTTTTGCTAAGAGGGCACCAGGTTTTTTTTTCCCATAAGCATACCAATTCAGGTGGAGTTTCTTGATGTTAGTCAAAGGAGGAATGTAAATGAGTACGAAGCTCCTCGAATTTATACAAGAGGGTTGTGTCAGACTCATTGGGGTATGTTTTATTATTCTGTTTCACTTTGGAAATTTGGTCTGAATGGAAAGTCACTTTCACTGCCCATGTTTGTTTCTCATGGGCCCCCAACTTGATAAAAATACCTCGCATGTAAGATTTGTGGGCATTCCATAGAAGAGAGTAATTTGTTACAGAACCAGCGTTAATATCAAAATACTTTTCTAGCTCTATTTTGATCTGTTCCTGACACACTGGGTGAGTAAGTAGGGAGGCATTTCATTTACCAGGACTTGTGTCTTTTCCCTTCTGGTTTGAGTGAGAAAGTGATGGTCCGACCATGCAATTAAGCCTGTAGTGGCCTGTAAAGTAAATGTGTGCATCAGGAAAAAATCAATCCTAGAGTAGGTTTTTTGGGCTGCAGAATAAAAGGTGTAATCCCTCTCCGTTCTGTGTAGACACCGCCATGGGTCAAATAGATCTTTCATTTGCATAAAGGAGGAGAGCGCAGTGGGCTCTTTATGTGTGGTGCTAAAGCCCCATCAGCAATGTCATTGAAGCCTCCACATAAAATTATGTGGTCTTTGGGATAATGTGATATTTTGTTCATTACCTGCTTGTAGAAGTGTTTTTGATGGTGATTAGAAGCATATAGATTGATTATCACAAGATGTAAGTTGTCAAATAGGGCAGACAGTATGAGGCATCTGCATAGAGGGTCAGTTTCTAAATGTTGGAGATGTTACGAACAGCGATCATATTCCCCCAAACTTTTTTGATGGCATTAGCGAAGACTTAGTGTGGGAATAGTCGCTGTTGAGAGGAGGGTGCTTTCCCTAGCGCAAAATGCATCTCTTGTACACATAAGATATCTGATTTATGAGAAAATGCTTCATTCCATAACCTAGACCATTTATAGGGCTGTTGAGTCCTTTAACATTAATAGTGGTTATATGAAGTGCCACTGGGGACTGACTTTGGCGGTGGTAGCAGCAGAGGGAGAGGGATCACAAAAGTCAGAGTATAGCAGCTACAAACAGTATTAAGAGAGATAAAGTATGAAAATACATCTGGATAATTTCTATGTGTTGTACAACAAGAAAGGAGAAGGCAAACTAGGTATGAAACAATAACAAGAATGGAAGTGAGAGATGGGTGTGCATGGCACACGGCGTACCTGGGGTGTGTTATCAATAGCGAGAAAAAAAAAAAGAAGAAAGAAATTAACATCTGGCAACACCACCAGAGCATAAGAGACTACTGATGCCAAGGACTCTTGATAAGCCCACTATGAGGAAGGGTGAATCAGGCACATGTGATAAACAGAGTTCTCCTTATCTGTGTCGCCCAGGCTGCTCTGGTCTTATTAGTCAGCTTATGCTGTTGGAAGTTAGGTGAGGGAGAGGCTGTCAGGCTCCAACTATGCAATTGCTTGAATTCTTCCTTCAGGGATTTGATGGTTACTTGATGGTTTTGGTCAGTGACCTGGAATTTAGTTGTAAAGCCCCAACGGTAGACAATGTTGCAGTCCCGCAAGACTGTGGTGATTCTAGCAAATTCTTTCCTTCTTTGGGCAGTGGATGCAGATAGATCCTGATAGCGGAGGATGCCCGCATATGGAGGTGGTAGTAAGCAGGTAGATCTAGCCATCCACAAAAGACAATTCTTAATGTGATAGAAATTAATTCAAACTAGAACGTCTCTAGATACTGCGTTTGGGAGGAAAGCTGGTTTAGGGTGTCACGCCTATGGTAGTGAGCTCTATAGATCCACAGCTTGGGGTTTCCCCAGGGCGTGGAATCTAAGCCCCAGCCTGCTTGTTCACCATGGCCCCTGATGGTGGGGATGGACTTGCAGCAGGTCACGGCTCCCAGGTACACCCAGCTGAGGTGGAGGAGACCGCTAGCAGGAGCAGGGTGCAAGGGAGAAGATACAGGAATCCAATGGGCAAGCCGAGGTCAGGACAGGTGGAAAACTAGCAAGGTCAGGAACAAAGCCGGGGTCGGTACACAGATAGAAAACACAGGATTCACAGCGGAAACACACAGGAGCTCCAACAACAGGAAGTTGCTCAGACAAAGTGAGACAGACTGAGCATGTCTTAAATAGACAAGCCAGCTAGGAGGCAGCCAGGAAGTGATGAAAGGGAAGGACATAAAACCCAGGGAATAGCAGACGACGCCCACAGGTGAGCACAGACAAACACACATGTAAAGGAATCAAGAGCAGCAAGGAGGTAAGAATAAACACACAAGAGGCTGCAAGCTAACTTGTGACAGTACCCCTCCCCCCCTTACAAGGTCTCCCCACTTTTTTAGGGCCAAGCTTAAGGGGAAACTTCTGATGAAAAAATCCACCAGACAGGGTGCAGAAACATCAGTAGAAGGAATCCAACACCTCTCCTCAGGACCATATCCCTTCCAGTCAAAGGGATACAAAAGCTTCCCTCTGATGAACTTAGAATCCAAGATTTGCCTGACTTCATACTGATCCGAAGTACTCGCTATTGGGGAAGGATGACGATGAGGACGGGAAAACCTGTTGATGATATACGGTCTCAGAAGAGAAACATGGAAAACATTAGGGATTCTCAGATGTGAAGGGAGGCGAAGTTTGAAAGCAACAGGATTGACCTGGCGGAGGATGGTAAATGGACCAATGAAACGAGGAGCAAATTTCATAGAGGGTACTCGTAGACGGATATTCTTGGTAGAGAGCCAAGCCTTGTCACCAGGGAGAAATTTGGGACTCACTCGGCGATGACAATCTGCAGCTACTTTGTACTTAGAAGCTGACAGATGTAGGCTCTTGGAAAGATTTGCCTCAGAAGGAGTAAGAATAGGAGAACATACGACAGGAAACTAAGCTGGAGCAGACACCAATAACCAGGATGAAGGGTCTGGTGAGGAGGCTGCCAGGGAGGGCACAGGAGTAAGCGTGAAGGCTTTGATTTATACAGTGGGCAAAACAGGCTGTGTAGAACATGAAACTGGGGTAATACAAGAAATAGAAGGCACTGTAGGATGTATGGGAGCAGGACAGGGGACAGAAGGCACGGTAGGGCATATAAAGGTAGGACAGGGGACAGAGGGTACAGTAGCTACTAATGTGGAAACCATGGCTGGATCCAAAGCAGCTGAAGGGGGTTTTGGGTCTCAGCATGCAGAGCACAGAGGTCACAGATGTTGGGACCTCCACCCATCCAGAAGGTCACGATATAGGAGCTCTGAGCTGCAACATATGTAAAGGGACCGAAGATTTGGGCAGCAAAGATTGTAAGCAACTAGAGGACAGCACTGGAATGGGGCCCGCAATAGGAGTAGGCAGGGGAGCAGCCTTACTACAAGAAACATCTTGTAAGATCTGGCAATGGTGAGGGAGCATCGGAGAGGTGGTGGCCTCAGCCACGGGTACAGTGTGAGGTGGGTGGACAGAACAAGACTTAATTAGATGACCTTCAGCCCCACAGTAAAGGTATAGACCAAATCTTAGGCGACGTGATCATTCTTGTGGAGTAAGGTGTGTTCGGCCTAACTGCATAGGCTCTTCAGATGTCGGTACGGTTGCAGAGGTAAGTTGATCAGGGACTTTCTGGAAAACAGGAGCAAAAGAACCCACTGGAGGGCAACGTGGATGAGCCCTTTCCAGATCTTGCTCCTGGAAGCGGATATCGATCTGGATGCTAAGAGCAATCAAGTCATCCAGGGAGGTGGGTATGGTTCTTCCAGCTAGTTCGTCCTTAATATGGTCTGCTAGACCCTGCCAAAAGGTTGCAGAGAGGGCCTCATTATTCCATGCCAGTTATGAGGCTAAGGTGCGAAACAGAACTGCATATTGTCCAACAGTCCTGCTACCTTGACGAAGCTGAAGAAGAGCTCCTGATGCAGATGAAGTCCTGCTGGGCACATCGAATGCCTTACAGAAAGCTTGCAGGAAGGCTGGGAGGCTGAAAATAGTTGGATCTTGTCGCTACCACAGTGGCGAGGCCCAAGCCAGTGCTTCACCAGATGGAAGGGAAATCATTAACGCCACCTTGGAATGATCAGTAGAAAAAAGGTGGGCTGCTAGCTCGAATTTAATTGAGCACTGATTGATGAAGCCTGACAAGCCTTGGGATCACCAGAGAAGTGAGGTGGTGGAGGCAGCTGGAGTCTCGAAGGACAGTGTTCCACTGGGGGAACAGCGGAAGGTGGAGCAGCCCGGGGCCAAAACAGAGGGTGAAGAAGTGGACATAACCTGTAGCTGATCCAACTGGGAGTAGAGTTCCTGCAGACAGTGCATGATTTTTCTTGGAAGGCCTGCTGGGCCTCGACTCTCAGTGCCAAAGCCTGAAGTTGTTCCAGGACAGGCTGCGGGTGTCTCCGAAGAGCTGAGCAAACTGTCACACCTATGGTAGTGAGCTCTATAGATCCACAGCTTGGGGTTCCCCAGGGTGCTGAATATAAGCCCCAGCCTGCTTGCTCACCAGGGCCCCTGATGGTGGGGATGGACTTGCAGCAGGCTGGGACCAGGTCGTGGCTCCCAGGTACACCCAGCTGAGGTGGAGGAGACCGCTAGCAGGAGCAGGGTGCAAGGGAATCCAATGGGCAAGCCGAGGTCAGGACAGGTGGAAAACTAGCAAGGTCAGGAACGAAGCTGGGGTTGGTACACAGATAGAAAACACAGGATTCACAGCGGAAACACACGGGTGCTCCAACAACACAAAGTTGCTCAGGCAAAGTGGGACAGACTGAGCATGTCTTAAATAGACAAGCCAGCTAGGAGGTGGCCAGGAAGTGATGAAAGGGAAGGACATAAAACCCAGGGAATAGCAGACGATGCCCACAGGTGAGCACAGACATACACACATGTGAAGGAATCAAGAGCAGCAAGGAGGTAAGAATAAACACACAAGAGGCTGCAAGCTAACTTGTGACAGTACCCCTCCCCCCCCCCCTTACAAGGTCTCCCCACTTTTTTAGGGCCAAGCTTAAGGGGAAACTTCTGATGACTTTTTCTTTTGGGACATAGCCAGAGAGGTACTCTGTGTCTTATCCTCCCTGTCTAAAGTGTTTTCGGCTGACTGTGTTGCAGTATGTCGCTGGGTACGCCCGTGGTAGTGGAGAGGAGTAGGACAAGGCAGCCATCTTGCCATCTTGCTCAGCGGCCAGGACATTTCCCACAAAAAACATTTTTTAAAAATCCATTTGACCAGAAGCAGTGATTTTTTAAATGCTTAAAGTGGAACATTAAAAATGTCCAGTTTCTTTAAATAACATGCACAAAGGCGTCCTAATCCTGCCTGTGAAGGGGAAAATCTCTGTGATATACAGAAAATGCTGCAGTAGCACTGACATTTTCAAAGGAAAAAAAATTTTTAAAATTGCCAGCAAATTACGTTGACAGCTGTCTTAGCTGGGTTCTAAAAAAAAAAAAAACACGGACCCTTACTCCCCCCACCCCCTCCCCACCACCCAAGCCACCAAAGAGCCTCTTATGTATTTTGGAGGGGTCTGCAATTTTTTTTAACAAAGAAGATAGCAATGACAGATTTTAAACTTATTTGCCAGAAATCTAAACAGTATTTTTCTTGTAAATGTCATATTTGCTGTAGCACAAGCTACAGCAAGAATAACAAAAATGCATACAGGTACCCCTCCAAAAAAAAAATGCTCTCCAGACCCTTGTTTGGTATAGATTTTAAGCGGGTACCTCACAAAAAATATGTACCATGTCCCCCAGGAAGTCTATACTAGAATCTTCAGGTCTGATAGCAATTCTAAGAAGGACAAACAAACAAAAAAATGTAAGGTCCCCTAAAAATCCATAGCAGACCTTAAATATGAGCATACAGCCTAGTTGGCCAAGAAAGGGGAGGATGCTGTCCCTTCTTGTTCATGACCCATAACAGGTCACATGCTCTCAACATGTGGGATGAGAAAGTGCCTTGCCAGGGCAAGCTTCTTTATCAATGAACATCCCAACGGCCATTGTTCAGCCCAAACACAGGTTTGGACTGAACACTGAGTTCATATCTAGTTAAAGCAATGAATAACACAAGTGAAAAATCTTGCACATGCAAACCACACAAAAATATTAGCATAAAAGATGAACAACTAAGGAGTTGAAAATCACACTAAGCCAGTAGGAATTGAGAAGGCCATTTCACCTGCCCAGAAAGTGAGTGTGCTAGTATTACAAAGTGTCTCTCCTTGCAGGTGATTATAAAAGTAACACATTGGAAAAAAATACCAAAGTCAGCACCAATAATAGGTAACACAGTAGACTCCAGATGCAGAGGTAAATCAGTATTTCAAACAAGAGCATACTAACTAGGCTGGTGCAGAAGTATATAGGGCCAATGATGTGGAGCAATGAAGAGAAAGGAACAAGTTAAATCATCTAGAAGAGGGAACCCCCTAGAAATGAACTTATGAAAAGCATAAGTTCAGGATGAACAATACAAACAGTAAATGGCAGCTCCTGTTCTGGTATAAAAGAGAGAAAGTAGAGAAGGAGAGAGGAGACCATGTTAAGGCATGTCTCATCTTCCAGTAGTATAAGCATGCATCACTCGGGGGCCCTCCTATTAAGATCCCATTGCTGAAGCCAGTTAAACACATTCTTAGGGAAGTTAAAGAAGTGTATATGAGCACAATCAGCAACCCACAGTCAAGCAGGTTAAAGTATTGCATCGTTCATGTTGACTGCATGCAATCTTCATTTGGACTCAGTAATTTTGCTTGTTGCTTAGTTGTCTCTGTAGAAAAGTCTGGGTAAACAGCAACAGTGGTGTTTTGAAAAGGTATATTGCCAATATCCCTGGCAATTCACAGAACCAGATTGGGCTCCCTATAATTAGATAGTTTAACAATAAAGTTTTGGGGAGATGACCCTGTAAGTGGGGTGACTTACTGTTAGAGGGTGGACTTTACTGTAAAGATGGAAGAAAATTTCTCTCTGCCATAAGGAGTAATCAAGAGAGATTCTAAAAGGCCCACAGGATCAGAACCCTCCGCTTGTTTCTAGAGGCCTATAAACCAAAGGTCTTTTTTTTTTTTTGCATAATCTATTTTCAAGATCCTGCTATTTCTGCTTCAAATCATGTAGTCAAAGGTGATATTGATCAGATAGGTGCTGTAAAGGATTTGTCTGATCTTCTGCAGTAGTCATTCTATTTTCAGTCTTTGTGATGCAATGGGTAAAATATGCTAAAACTCGAGCACTCAGAATCTAGTAAGGATGTGTATGGTAGCCAATCAGCTTCTAACTTCAGCTTGTTCAGTTAAGTATTGGCAATAAAATCTGGAAACTGATTGGTTTCTATGCAGAGCTGCACCCGATTTTACACTCTCCAGCTCTAGTAAATAACCCCCTATATCTCTATTTATGTCTTGCTGAATCAAGAAATACCTATCCTAACATCTATCTTAATGTTCAAAACATTTTGACATGTAGAAATAGCTTCCAGTACTTTTACTGTGTCAGATAGAAATCCCTACCCCCCATTATGGTTTCATGCCATTTTTGACCATCCAGAGGAATTTCTGTATCTGGCCAAAAACACCAAATACATGCTTTGGAGTTGACATGAAGGAACAATAATCCATTGTAATTCTTTTTGGAGCAGGATGAAAGGTGCTATATTCTGTAGGAACGATCAATGTTGTGCAGAGCTGCAGCTAGACAAGCCCCACCCTTTCCTGTGCCAGGACATGCCCCTCAACTTGTGACTTTTTGGTATTTCACTTCATTAGTAGCTGCAAAAAGTCTAATGTTTTCAGGCAGAGACTAAGGCAGGCCATACATGATGCAATTTTCTTTCCTGCAACCAAGGATTGCAGGAAAGAAAATTGTTTGATTCCCCCATCAATGCAGTCAGTGCTGATGGGGAATCTGTCCTGTGGAGCTATTGTGTTTTCCTGGTGGGGGGAGTCAACCCTTCAGGGAGAACACAGTGATTACTGCTAGCAGCTCTATTAGTGGCTAGCAATAATCACATGACAAATCTGACAAACTGGTACCTAAGTTGCACAACAGTTGACTTGGGTACAATCAACCTGCACATAGATTCAAATCCCTGTACATGGTTCAGATTCAAACCATCTATCCATATATGGACAGTTTAACACGCTGATGTGTGCAATGACAAGATCAGCAAAACACAACTATTGTTTAGCATTGCTAAGGCTGCATATATAATTAGGAAATAAGAGTTGCTCCCTTCTACATAAAAGGGACCATTTATCAATTCTGACATGTAGCTAGGTAATGCGTAGTGAGAAAGATTTATTATACTT